TCTTACGAGGAAACTTGGTTTCTCAAATCACGATACACAAAATGCGCGCGAGGCGGACAATACTCACCGTCCACGAGATGACCATGTTGTTTGGGCGCGTGCCGTTGCCGCGCACGTTCTCCGGGTGCTTGTCGGGCGTGTCCGGATCCGTGCGACACACTGTCGTCGCATCGCTCGGCACGCTGTTGCCGATCTTGTTGTGCGCGATCACGCGGAACGTGTAATTGGACCACGGCGAGATGTCGACGCGGTACTGCCGTACTGCGAGGGTTGCATGCAACAACACAGGTTAGATACTGTCGCACTGCGAGGGTTGCATGCAACAACACAGGTTAGATACTGCCGCGCTGCGAGGGTTGCATGCAACAACACGCGTTAGAAATGTATGGTTGTATGGCGTCATGTACACAAGTGATAGATAGTGTCGTGTTACAATGGTTGCATGCAACGACACACGTTAGATGATGCTACGCTGTCATGGTTGTATAAAACAAGTGATAGATAGTGTTGCACTGTGAGTGTTGTATACAACAACACACGTTAGATGATGCTATGCTGTCATGGTTGTACAAAGCAAGTGATAGATAGTGTCGTGTTGCAATGGTTGTATACAACAACAGGTCATAGACACGGTCGCACTGCGAGGGTTGTATACAACACGTGTTAGATACTGGTTTGCTGTGAGGGCTGTATACAACAACACGTGTTAGATACTGGTTTGCTGTGAGGGTTGTATACAACGACACGTGTTAGATAACGCAGAACAATTACTGCACTGTGATTGGATAAACAACAACCAGAGCGCAAAATTCCCAACAGCAACACGACATTCGCAAATCGCGGCAGCCACGTCTACTTCAGTGCATCGTTGACCTGCCGAACGACAACACCGTTACATAAACGCGAGGCTAGCAACGTTGAATCGCACTCACTCGTCGGCGAGACCTTGTTCTCCAGGTCCACCCAGATGTCCGGTTCGAAGGTCGTGTTGAACTGAATGATGTAGTTAAGTATGGGTGCGCGGTTGTCACCCATCGGTGTCCACTGCACGTTCGCTGACCGCTTGTCACAACTCGTCAGAATCACGTTGCCTGGACGGTTGGGCCGGCCTGAAAGCGAACATCGAAACCTCAGCATTGTTGTCCCCCGACTGCTCTGGCGGCTGCCACGGCAACGCGATAGCGCTGCGAAACGGGCGCATGATGCCCCTGCATGGTCATGTGACATCAAGACGAGTCGAAGACAATGTCAACACTGGGACTGCTGTCGCGGATTTTAATGTCAACCGTAACCAGTAACATCACCGTGCAGTGTATTTTGTACACGCATCTGTGCAAAAGCGTTCAAAGCATCAGTGCATTTGCATGTGATGTCATCGTCTCGGTAAATCTCAGCGTGTCACCGCGTGACACGTAAAACAATACAGAGTAAGTGTCACGTGTCACCACCATGATGATCGTGCAGAGTAAGTGTCACCGCCAACCTCACCGTGCAGTGTAAGTGTCACATGTCAACCTCACCGTACAGAGTAAGTGTCAAATGTCACCCGCAACGTCACCGCTCTGTATGGGTCAAATGTCACCTGTCAACCTCACAATACAGAGTAAGTGTCACATGTCAACCTCACAATACTGAGTAGGTGTCAAATGTCGCCCGCCAATGTCACCGTACAGAGTAAGTGTCACATGTCACTGCCTTGATGACCGTACAAGCAATACAGAGTAGGTGTCACGTGTCACCTGTCAACCTCACAATACAGAGTAAGTGTCACGTGTCACCTGTCAACCTCACAATACAGAGTAAGTGTCACGTGTCACCTGTCAACCTCACAATACAGAGTAGGTGTCACGTGTCACCTGTCAACCTCATGAGGTTGACAGGTGACACGTGACACTTACTCTGTATTGTGAGGTTGACAGGTGACACTTACTCTGTACGGTGAGGTTGGCGGTCACTCGCACGGTGTCTAGAACGGCCCCGTCGTTCTCGCGGCTGTACGCCGTCGCGACGCACGTGTAGTCAGCCGTGTCGTCATCCTGCGTGTTGGTGATCAACAGCGTGTGATCGAGCGGGTGCTTGATGATGCGCTGCGACAGCGCGTAGTTGATCAGCTCACCGTGCTTGCGCCAGTCTGCGAGAAAAAAATGCAAATAAGCAGCTCGAATGAGCGGCAGTCACGCCACGAGTGTGGCAGGCGTGAGATGAATGAGTGGCAGCCGTGGTGTGAATGAGTGGCAGTATGGGGGAATGAGTGGCAGCCGTGGGGTGAATAAGTGGCAGTAGGGGGTGAAAGAGTGGCAGTATGGGTGAATGAGTGGCAGCCGTGGAGTGAATGAGTGGCAGTATGGGAGAATGAGTGGCAGTAGGGGGTGAATGAGTGGCAGTAGGGGGTGAATGAGTGGCAGCCATGGGGTGAATGAGTGACAATAGAGTGAATGAGCAGCAGCTGTGGGATGATGGAGTGGCAGTAGTTGGAAGACTGAGCGGAAATAAAGGAATATATGCGTGGTAGTAATTGGATGAAAGAGGGACAGTAGGGGAATGAATGAGTGGCAGTACGAAGAAGAATAAGTGGCAGTAAGGAAATGAATTTTACTTTTAGGAACTTTAGCTTTAACTTTCCGATGTTACTGACAACAGGCCCCAGCTCTGCCATCTTCAGGTAGACTATGCAATCTCTACATTCACACACGTACACACACTCACAGACATGCACACGTTGTGCACACACACCCACACACGCGTGCTCGCATACACGTATGCACATATTTTAATATGTATAGATATATATATATATAGTGTGTGTGTGTGCGTGCGTGCGTGTGTGTGTTCGGTTAGTATATATAATATATATATATATTATATATATATAATAATATTATATATATATTAATGTGTGTGTGTGTGTGTGTGTGTGTGCGTGCATGTGTGAGTACGTGTGTGTGTGTGTGTGTGGTGTGTGTGTGTGTGTGTGCGTGGTGTGTGGTGCGTGTGTGTGTGTGTGTGTGCGTGCGTGTGTGAGTAACTACCATCGTATTACCTATCTGTAGACGAAGTGACTTGTCGGCTACGGCCGAGGCAGCGAACACAGCGGCTTGTGGCTTCCTGAAGCTCAAGATCCGCGGCCGATTCACGAACTTTAGTCTTACTGCAGACAGACAGCAAGCACATCAGATATACACTGTCAGATAGCAGGCAGTGAACAAGAATATCATATATACAGGGTCAGACAGCAGGCAGTGACAAGAATATCATATATACAGGGTCAGACAGCAGCAGTGAACAAAATAGCATATATACGAGGGTCAGACAGGCAGGCAGTGAACAAGAAATATCAGAAAGACAGGGTCAGATATAAGGCTGTAAGCAAGAATATCAGATATACACTGTCAGATAGCAGGCAGTGAACAAGAATATCATATATACAGGGTCAGACAGCAGGCAGTGAACAAGAATATCAGAAAGACAGGGTCAGATATAAGGCTGTAAGCAAGAATATCAGATATACACTGTCAGACAGCGGGCAGTGATCAAGAATATCAGATATACAGGGTCAGATATAAGGCTGTAAGCAGAATATCAATATACACTGTCAGACAGCGGGCAGTGATCAAGAAATCAGATATACAGAGGTCAATATAAGGCTGTAAGCAAGAATATCAGATATACACTGTCAGATAGGCAGGCAGTGAAGCAAAGAAATATCATATATACATTGTCAGACGCAAGGGCAGTGATCAAGAATATCATATATACAGGGTCAGACAGCAGGCAGTGAGCAAGAATATCAGATATACACTGTCAGACAGCAGGCAGTGATCAAGAATATCAGATATACAGGGTCAGACATATGGCAGTAAGCAAGAATATCAGATATACACTGTCAGGCAGCAGGCAGAAAGCAAAAATATCAGATATACAGTAGCAAACAGCAGACAGTGAGCAAGAATATCAGATATACACTGTCAGATAGCAAGGCAGTGATCAGAATATCAGATATACATTGTCAGACAGCTGGGCAGCTGATGCAGAATATCAGAATAAGACAGGGTCTAGATATAAGGTCTGTAAGCAAGAATATGCAGATAATCACACTGTCAGACAGGCAGCAGTGATCAAGAATATCAGATATACAGGGTCAAGACCAGCAGACTGAGGCAAGAATATCAGTACATATACAGGGTGCCGAGCATATGGCAGTAAGCAGAATATCAGATAATACACCGTCAACATCAGCAGTGAGACAAGAATATCAGACATACAGTACAGACAGCTACACAGCAAGAAATCCTGAACATAGCAGACACGCATACACGCAGTGTAGATACAAGATAGACCTATGCAACTGGCACCGAAAGTGGACAGGCAAGAATGCAGATACGCCTAGATAGCGCAGCTCGCCGGAACGACGGCATCAAACCGCCGCAGCTCAAAGAGCGCAACCACCCAGATATCACGAACGCCGACACCTCCGACGAGGCAGATGGCGCGCCACCGGTGAGCAGGCGACTCACGTTGACGATGACTGCGCGCCGTGCCTGGATGGTGGCCGTACTTGTGTCGACCCGACAGACACATTAGTCCCCGTCTCGTGCGAAGATCCACGCGCATCGATGAATCATGTGCCGTTCTCCAGCATGTCGAAGCGGCGCGCCGTGTAGCTCGGCGCCGGTTCTTTGTACGCACGCGTGTTGACGCGCGGACACAGCAGAGAAGAAATGTCACATGGTGAGGGGTGTCACATGGTGAGTGGGGGTGTCACACAGTGAGTGGGGGTGTACACACGGTGAGTGGGGGTGTCCACACGGTGAGTGGGGTGTCATCACGGTGAGTGGGGGGGTCACAACGGGAGTGGGGGTGTCCCACCGATGAGTGGGGGTGTCAACATCGTGGTGGGTGCACCGGATGGGGTGTCACCACGGTGAGTGTGGAGGTCACCGGTGAGTGGGGGTCACGGTTAGGGTCACACGCGAGTGGGGGTGTCACAACGGCGTAGTGGGGGGGTGAGGGTTCACACGTGAGTGGGGGTGTCACATCGGGACGTGGGGTGTCAGCACGGGTGGTGTCACACAGGTGAGTGGGGGTGTCACACGGTGAGTGGGGGTGTCACACGGTGCAGTGGGCGTGTCCACAACGGTGAGTGGGGGGTGTCAGCACGGTGAGTGGGGTGTGCACACGGTGAGTGGGGGTGGTCACACGGTGAGGTGTGGGGTGGTCACACGGTGAGTGGCGGTGTCACACGGTGAGTGGGGGTGTCATCCGTGGAGTGGGGGTGTCAACGTGAGTGGGTGTCACACGATGATGGGGGTTGTCTAGCGATGAGTGGGGGTGTCACACGGTGGGGGGGTGTCACATCGGTGAGTGGGGGGTGTCACAGTGTGGGTTCACGGTGAGTGGGTCGCACACGGTGAGTGGGGGGTGTCACACGGAGTGGGGGTGTCACACGTGCGTGGGGGGTGTCACACGTGAGTGGGGGTGAGCAGTGGGGGCAACACGGTGAGTGGGGGTGTCACCCGGTGAGTGGGTGGTGTCACACAGTATGAGGGATGGAGTTGTCCACATCGGTGAGTGGGGGTGTCACACGTGAGTGGGGTGTCAGCACGATGAAGGGATGTGAGTGTCACACGGTGAGTGGGGGTGTCACGCGGTGTCAGTGGGGTGTGCCAACACGGTGAGTGGCGGGTGTCATACGCGGTGAGTGGGGTGTGCCACGTGAAAGTGGGGGGTCACACGGTGAGTGGGGGTGTCACACATGAGTGGGGTGTCACAACGGTGTAGTGGGGGGTTTGTCAACACGGTGATGGGGTGTCACACGGTGAGTGGGGGTGTTCACACGGTGAGCTGGGGGTGTCACACAGGTGAGTGGGGGTGCACACGGTGAGTGGGGGTGTCACACGGTGAGTGGGGGTGTCACACGGTGAGTGGGGGTGTCACACGGTGAGTGGGGGTGTCACACGGTGAGTGGGGGTGTCCACACGGTGTAAGTTGGGGGTGTCAGCACGGTGAGTGGGGGTGTCATACGATGAGTGGGGTGGTCAATACGATGAGTGGGGGTGTCACCAACGTGAGTGGGGTGTCACCAACGGTGAGTGGGGTGTCACAGACGCGATGAGTGGGGGTGCAGCATACGGGTGAGTGGGGGTGTCACAGCGGTGAGTGGGGGTGTCAGCACGTGAGTGGGGGTGTCACTCACAACATGAGGGTACACGGGGGTGTGCAGCACGGTGAGTGGGGGTGTCACCCCGGTGAGTGGTGTCCACACGGTGAGTGGGGGTGTCACACGGTGAGTGGAAGTGTCATACGATGAGGGATGGAGTGTCACACGGTGAGTGGGGGTGTCACACGATAAGTGGGGGTGGTCACACCGATGGAGGGATGGAGTGTCACACGGTGAGTGGGGTGTCACACGGTGAGTGGGGTGTCACACGGTGAGTGGGGGGTGTCATAACGGTGAGTGGGGTGTGCACTACGGTGGTGGGGGTGTCAGCACGGTGAGTGGGGGTGTCAGCACGATGAGTGGGGGTGCACACGGTGAGTGGGGGTGTCACACGGTGAGTGGGGGTGTCACCGGTGAGTGTGGGTGTCACACGGTGAGTGGGGGTGTCACACGGTGAGCTGGGGGTGTCACATGCGATGAGTGGGGGGGTTTGTCAACACGGTGAGTGGGGGTGTCACACGGTGAGTGGGTGTCACACGCTGAGGTGGGGGTGTCACCACGATGAGTGGGGGTGTCACACGGTGAGTGGGGTGTCAGCACGGTGAGTGGGGTGTCAGCCGGTGAGTGGGGGTGTCACACGGTGAGTGGGGGTGTCACACGATGAGGATGGGAGTGTCAACACGGTTTGAGTTGGGGGTGTCACCGGTGAGTGGGGGTGTCACACGATGAGGATGGAGTGTCACACGGTGAGTGGGGGTGTCAGCAGCGGTGAGTGGGGTGTCACACGTGAGTGGGGGTGTCATACGGTGAGTGGGGGTGTCACAGCGTGAGTGGGGGTGTCACAGCGATGAGTGGGGGTGTCCACATGGTTTGAGGTGGGGGGTGTCACACGGTGAGTGGGGGTGTCACAGCGGTGAGTGGGGGTGTCACACGGTGAAGTGGGGGTGTCACACGCGGTGAGTGGAAGTGTCACATCGGTGAGTGGGGTGTCATACGGTGAGTGGGGTGTCACACGTGAGTGGGGGTGTCACGACGGTGGAGTGGGGGTGGTCACACGGTGAGTGGGGGTGTCAGCAGCGGTGAGTGGGGGTGTCACAGCGATGAGTGGGGGGTCACACGGTGAGTGGGGTGTCCACACCGGTGAGTGGGGGTGTCAGCAGGCGGTGAGCTGGGGTGTCACACGTGAGTGGGGTGTCAAGCACGGTCGAGTGGAAGTGTCAGGCACGTGAGGTGGGGTGTCAGTACGCTTGTAGTTGGGGTGTCACACCGTGAGTGGGGGTGTCACACGGGTGGAGTGGGGTGTCACACCGGTGAGTGGGGGTGTCACACGGTGAGTGGCGTGTCATCAGCGGTGAGTGGGGGATGTCACACGGTGGACGTGGGGGTGTCAGACGAATGAGTGGGGGGTGTCACCGGTGGAGTGGGGGTGTGCACACGGGTTGAGTGGGGGGTGTCCACGTGAGTGGGTGTCACACGGTGAGTGGGGTGTCCACCACGGTGAGTGAAGTGTCAGCAACGGTGGTCGGGGTGTCATACGGTGAGTGGGGTGTCACACGGTGAGTGGGGGTGTCACACGGTGAGTGGGGGTGTCACACGATGAGTGGGGGTGTCACACGTGATGGGGGTGTCACACGGTGAGTGGGGTGTCACACGGTGAGTGGGGATGTCCACGACGTGTGAGTGGGGATTGTCACACCGGTGAGTGGATAGTGTCACACGGTGAGTGGGGGTGTCATAGCGGTGAGTGGGGGTGTCAACACGGGTAGAGTGGGGGTGTCACGCAGCGGTGAGGGGGGTGGTCACACGGTGTAGTGGGGTGTCACCGGTTGAGTGGGGGTGTCAACACGGTGAGTGGGGGTGTCACACGGTGAAGTGGGCGTGTGCAACACGAATTTGAGTGGGGTGTCACACGGTGAAGTGGGGGTGGTTCCCCACGGGTGAGTGGGGGTGTCACAACGATGAGTGGGGGTGTCACAGCGGTGAGTGGGGGTGTCAGCACGATGAGTGGGGGTGTCACACGGTGAGTGGGGAGGTGTCTACACGGTGAGTGGGGGTGTCATACGGTGAGTGGGGGTGTCAGCACGATGAGTGGGGTGTCACAGCGATGAGTGGGGGTGTCACACGGTGAGTGGGGTGTCACACGGTGAGTGGGGAGTGTCACACGGTGAGTGGGGTGTCACACGGTGAGTGGGGTGTCACACGATGAGTGGGGGTGTCACACGGTGAGTGGGGTGTCACACGATGCACGTGGGGGTGTCACACGGTGAGCTGGGGGTGTCACACGATGAGTGGGGTGTCAGCAGCGGTGAGTGGGTGTCACACGGTGAGTGGGGGTGTCATAGCGGTGAGTGGGGTGTCACACGATGAGTGGGGGTGTCCACACGATCGAGTGGGGGTGTCACACGGTGAAGTGGGGGCCTGTCAGCACGGTGAGTGGGGGTGTCACAGCGATGAGCTGGCGGTGTCAGCACGGCTGAGTGGGGGTGTCCAGCACGAACTGAGTGGGGGTGTCAGCACGATGAGTGGTGGGTGTCAGCACGATGAGTGGGGGTGTCATCACGGCTGAGTGGGGTGGTCAGCACGGTGAGTGGCGGGCTGTCAGCAGTCGGCTGCAGCTTGGGGTGTCACCACGAAATGAGTGGGGGTGTCAGCACGATGCAGGGATGAGAGTGTCTACAGCGAATGAGTGGCGGAGTGTCACAGCGGTGAGTGGGGGTGTCACACAGTGAGTTGGAAGTGTCAAATACGATGAGGGATGGAAGTGCACAACGATGAGTGGAGTGTCTCACACGGTGAGTGGGGGTGTCACACGGTTGAGTGGGGGTGTCACAGCGGTGAGTGGGGTGTTCAAACACCGTGAGTGGGGGGTGTCACACGTGATTGGGGTGTCACACGGTGAGTGGGGGTGTCACACGTGAGTGGGGGTGTCACACGGTGAGTGGGGTGTCACCACCAGGAGTGGGTGTCACACGGTGAGTGGGTGTCACACGGTGAGTTGGGGGTGTCCACACGAGTGTAGTGGGGGGGGTGTCACACGGTTGAGTGGGGTGTCCACACGGTGCGTGGGGGTGTCACCGGTGAGTGGGGGGTCACACGGTGAGTGGGGGTGTCACACGGCTGCAGTGGGGGATGTCAGGCACGGTGAGTGGGTGTCACCGGTGGAGTGGAAGTGTTAATACGATAAGGGATGGAGTGTCTGATGATGAGGGGTGGAGTGTCACATGGTTAGGGGGGTGTCACACGATGAGGGGTGGAGTGTCACACGTTGAGGGGTGAAGTGTCACACGATGAGGAGTGAGTGAGTGCACCACGAATGAGCGGGGCGAGTGTGCGGCACGGTGATGGGGAGTGTCACAATGATCAAGGGATTGTCACACGATGAAGGGTGTCACACGATGAGGGAGAGTGTCACGGCAACGAT